CGCCTCGCCGCGCCACGCCCCCTGCCCGGCGCGGCGGGCCAATGAGCGCCCGCCTCCCGCGGGGGACACGCCCACCGCCTCTGCCCGCCCCGCCTCCCGGCGGAGCCACCAATCAGCGCCGCGTCAACGTCATGGGGGCGGGGCTCTCGCCATACCCCCCCCCCGGTGGGGGCGATATATCCCAGCACCCTTTGCGCGGGGGAGGGGCGTGGCCGTTGTCCCCGGCTATGGGGGACCCCCGTGGGGTGACACCCCCCCCATAGCGTGATGTCCCCAATAGGACAGGAGCCCCCCATGGGGTGACACCCCCCCCATAGCGTGATGTCCCCAATGGAGCAGGAGCCCCCCATGGGTGACACCCCCCCCATAGCGTGAGGTCCCCAATGGGGCAGGAGCCCCCCATAGGGTGACACCCCCATAGCGTGAGGTCCCCAATAGGGCAGGAGCCCCCCATGGGGTGACACCTCCATAGCATGAGGTCCCCAATGGGGCGGAACCCCCCATGGGATGACACCCCCTGTGACACATGGCCCCTCAGTGGGGCTGGCCTCTCCCCCGGGCTTGGAGACCCTTCCATGGGGTGACAGTCCCTATGGGGTGACCCCTGCCGTGTCCCAGGGGTGGGGGACACCCCTATGTGTCCCCCTTCTTCCCCGAGACCCCTCCATTGCGCGGGGGGACCTCGGTGGGTGACACTTTGGGGACCCTTCGTGGGGTGGGTCCCCCGCTGTGGCACTGAGGAGCCTTCCGTGGGGCAACGTCCCCATCCGGGTGCTGCGTCCCCATCGGGACAGGGGGGACACCCATGGGTGACCCTTGGTGTCTCCACACAGGCCAGGGGGCCCATGGGCCTCCAAGTGGCCCAGCAGGACCGGGAACCCGGGACGTTTCCGTGCGTTTTCCGCTCTCCATCCCCGCCGGAGCCCCCAACCCTGAGCCATGGGGGACGGAAAGGGACCTGGTGGCCCCAGCGGCGACGGGACATCCCCGCGGGGCGGGAGCCGGCCCGTGGCTCCGTGTCCGGCCCGCGAGCGGGTCCCCGTCCCGGATGCATCCGTGGAGCCGCGGGGCTCCCTTCCCGCCTTCCCGTCCCCGCGTGTCCCTGTCCGCAGGGCGGGAGCGTCTCCGCGTCCTGCCTGGGGTGAGGAGGGAGCCGGGAGCGATTCCCCATGGATCCGGCTCTGGTGCCTCCGTGCCGGGGAAGAAGCCGGGAGCGGATCCTCCGGCTTGGAGAATCCCACGGGAACATGAAAAATCCGCTGTCCCGAAGCCTCTGTGGCCACACAGACGGTCCGGGTGGGTCCATGTGGGGCGGGG